ATTCTCAAGGTTGAAGTTTATTTTTCGCAAGACTGACGTCAGCTTGCCGAGCCCATCAGCAGCTGCAGGTACTGTACCAGCGATGCAGTGCGTTGAAGGCGGCACGCTGGTTGAGCGGTCCGAAGCCTCGCATGGCGAACCCACTCGGCCGGCCCTGGGTTTGAAAGAAGCACTCATTACCTCCGAGACTGATTGTCGGCAGAGCGTAGACTCGAAGTGGTCTTGAATTTACAGAGTAGATAAATGAACATTTGATCCAGGAAGCGGAAGAAGGGAATAATTCGACTTATCTCCAAATGAGTTTTTATCTTATAATGTGCCTCTGGGGTTTCCATCATCACCCAAATTGTTTGACCCAATTCCTGGAGAAATCCACATGAAAATGGATATAAGTTAACTTAGACGCTTTTACGGTCTATTTCATCGCAAAGTGGTGGAAACTCAACCGAAGTCCACGTAACTCCATTGCTCAAAATGGCAGAAGGAGGTAACTCAACTTATGTCTATATGAATCTAATATAAAACTAGTATTAAAAAAATCAACTCAACCTAACTCCCCATCACTAGTTAGAAAAAAAGGGATCTAGAAAATCAAGATGGCGGGCCGGATCAAGTGTTCTAGTGCTAAATGTGGGAAAATTATCTATGATAATCTACAAAAGTCGGTTAAGTGTACTAAGTGTCATCAATGGTTACACTTGAAATGTACAAACGTGTCACAAGAAGTGTTTTCTAGAATTGCAAAGGTCTGGAAACGCACGTTTGCGACTTATGCACCACGGCCACCATGACAGGTGAGGTAGGGAAGACCCTGTAACCATAGTGGAACACGCCGGCTCTCAACAGACGCTAGATGTTAATGTGTCTAATGAAGATACTTATACTACAAACTCAATAGATTTTGACTCGTCGATAGAATCAGTTGCAACGACAGTTGAGGCTGATAATTTCCATAAACTGACAGCTAGCTTGATAGTACATATAGAAGACCTACAAAGAACTGTCAAAGATCTCACGAGTAGAATTGAGACTCTTGAAAACAACAGAAAGCAAGAAAAAGTGAAGTCAGGTGAAAAAGCTGAAGGAAATAACATAGCTGATAGACGAGTGACTGCAAGTGCTGCTGTTAGGTTAAGTGCTGGTGCGGGGTTAGCTGAAGTCATGAACCCCAGTAATCTA